ACACCTCTGCGCCTCAGAGAAGTGAGAGAGAAAAAACAGCAAAGAAATGTCAGCAAACATCTGCTTCAAGAAGCAGACCTTGTCCAAGGACAAGCTTACCAAGGAGCCATCCGGTAAATGGCCAACCTTATTTGGCCCTGAGGTTGGCCTCGAAGGTGAGCTCGGCCCAGGCTCGTGGCTCCATTGTTCAATGGCCATAGCTACTTCCTTGGGCAAAGTCCTAATAAAAGGACCTGACATGCCTAAGTTTGCCTTAAAACAAAGTGAACAAATGTGCTGGGCCAACAGCTGCAATTAAGCATTCAGACCAAACCATGACAGTTATTCATGCTAAGTTGGCTTACATGTTTGATTTTAAGAAGATACCAGTTTGCATATCAAGAAGTATGTTTAACTGCTTAGCACTCAGATGTTTTGCAGATTCTACCAGGAAGCAGGTGGATGATTTTGTTCTTTGGAGCTTGCAGTTTGTGAAGCAGAATGTTGGGCCTACATAGCAGAAGGTGTGGGGCATGGAAAATGTGGATCATGGGGGGGTGAGCATATATATATATATAATGTGTTCGGCATCTATATATATATATATGTATATATATATATATATATATATATATTTATATATGCCAAAATCCTATACATTAATGGACGTACTAAACCAGCACCTGAGCCTGAACCTTCCAACTTCATCCATAGTTGCTATGGATCCTCCTTTTGGTGTTCTTTGCGCTTTCCTTCAACCGGGGAGTCTCTCGGCCAACCAAAAGACTCTCATTGGCTCATCTTTTGGAGGCTTAGAGCAACCTCTGGCCCATCTGACTTCATCACAAGCGTGGGACGCCTGATCAACAGAGCTATTTTTCCTGAAACGGGTTTATGAGGCTTGTGCGGGGACTCCGGCCTTTACCACTCCTTGCTGGGCAAGGGTATGCATGATAGCAGGACTTATGTGGGTCAGATGGGTAAACATCCTTGCCACGGGGTCCATGACCATTTTCAATAATTCAAAGAGCGTTTGACCCATGGTGCACATGGAAGTGCAGGAACGCACTTCCAGGGCTTCCACTGCAACTGCGGGCATCCTGCAGCCAGCCTCTGTCCGGCGAGCAGGCTGGGCTGCAACTATCATCGAGCCCGTGCCTCAGGTACCACATCGGCCACGAAGCAGGGGGTGAATCAAATTAGGAAATTAGTAAATCCATGCTGTTTTTGTTTGAGCACATACTGTCGTTTGAAAGGCAAACCAAAGGAAACCAACTCCCAAACCACTGTGAAGTGCCCACCAGGCCCTGACTGCGCCACGGCAGGCTTCCTGGCAAGCAGCTCGTGTCTGCCAGGCCCGAAAGCTGTCTGCCTCTGGCGGGACCATTTTTTCAAGGGAGGGGCCAAGGATGATCCTGAGAACCTGCACCAGGCAATCGAATCACCCGCGGGCGATTCCACCGCCACATCGCCTGTGCCGTCCCGATAGCTCATTTTCCTCCGCGCCAAGGGCACAGTCCAGCCTCCGCGCGTGAGACGCGCCCCCTTATGCCTTACCTGGGTCGCGCGTGCGCGCCCGTTGGAGGCATGGCCTCCCAGACCCGGCGGGCGCATGCAGACTACTCAGATGGGACATCCAGCGAGCCAACCTTGCCCAGCCCAGTGTTCGGATCCTAGGCCATTTCCGGCATCTTGGAAACAACAGGAGGTGCAATGATGGATGGGCAACAGTGAAAATGCACCTTCCATGCGCAGGCTTCTGAAGTAACCACTGCTGATGAATAATACCGCACCACACTTTGCTTCCCTGCGGATCTTCCCATCCACCTGACCCACTTGGTCAGTGTCACACAGCCGGGACTTTCCCGAGCCGTCTCATCTCCGCCAGAAGGGTTTGCGCCTGCGGCCGGCTGCGGTTTTTATCAGGCCCTGTGCCGGCCCAAGGAGCTGTTGTTGAAGCGGTCAAAAACGAACACATCCTAGGTTGCGCAGCTCCAATGTGACGAACCTTCGAAGAAACACAACTTCCACGCAGAAGGCAGAAAGACGGGGCCTTGCGTATGCGACTCATCAGCACGGCCGAGGGGTTGGAAGCGCGTAGCCTCGGCGCGTTGATTCTCGCTCTCGGAGTTTCGGCGAAAGTGCGGAAGCTGAGGCAGGGGCGGCCCCTCGTTCAGGATGCGGCACTGGAGCCTGTGGAATGGTCAAAATGGGGTACAAGTAAAGGCAAGGCCCTATGAATTAGTTCAGCAACAGAAGTTTCTGGGGCTGTTCCCTGCAGCGATACTTTCGCACGCCGCTTTGTCTCGTTCTGTTCACAGCTGAATAAGTTTGAATCTGCCATGGCGCAATGCCCGGCTCCAAGGCTCCAGGGCTCCCGGCTCCACTGGTAGTGCCCTGAGTGCATTTTCTGCCTGGCGCCGGAGCAAAACACAGGGCCCGACTGCTTTACGAGTCGCCTTTCCAAAATTGAATTGGTCCATTTCCACCTTTGACCCCATGGACTTGGGGGAAAATAGGACGGCGCAAGCGCCGGGGACTCGCTGCTGGGGCCACAGACCGAATAGTCCACGGCGTGTTGCATGCAGAACTTCGCCACAGGGTCGCCGGCCGCTGCGGCCGCCTCAGGTCCGGTGTGGGAACCCCGGGATTCATCAACTGGATGATGACTTTAGAGAGAAGCCTTCACTTCTGGAGAAACCTCCCTGAAAGATCCGCCGGGCATTCCGGGGTCAAAACTATGACGTAAGAGTTGGGCAGATCTGGGGAGCGAGACATATGTTCCGCATCCCAGTCCAAGCACTCTGCGAATGGAAACGCCTGCCGTTTGCTTTGAAGATACCTCCTGAGGATGGTTTTCAGCACGGTCCCTCAGTTTGAGACAACCCATGTGAGCAGTGAAAAAACCCCTGTTACCCGTAAAGGAAATTACTTCAGCTTCCGCAATCGCTTGCGGAAAGCTTCCGCCAACCGAAAGGTCGCTTACGTTTGCTATTTTTCGAAGATGGAGCTTACGCATAGCTTACGACAAGTTGCTCGTGCCGGATCCTCGATGAGCAAGAGGCGCTAGCATGACAAAGCAACAGCTTGCAGATGGAAAGGCTGCTGCGCAGGCCCAGCAAGACAATGGAGGGCCAAAAGCTGAAAACAAACTTTCGGGGCACGAAAAGTTGTTTTCTGCAGAAAGCGCGCGGAACCTCTGCGAGCAAGAGGCGCCGGCAGGACAGAGCAACAACTTGCCTGGAAAGGCGCAAAGGCTTTGCTGCACAGGCTCAGCAGTGACATGGAGGGGAAAACTTTTGGGAACCCGAAAAGTTGTTTTCTAAGTTGTTGTTCCAGCCCGCGAGCTTTTTTTGGCTTCGGGGCCCTGAAAAGTGCCTGCAGGTGGCAAAAGGTGCCTCGCAACAAAAAAAAACTGGGCTCGAAAAGTTGTTTGTGCTTTCCAAGCCCAAGGCCCAAAGGTGAAAAGGCAAATCCGCAGCAAAACAAGCGGGGCTCAACATGTTGTTTTCCAAGCCCGCGCAACGAACAAGGTGAGGTGCCAAAACAAAACTTTCGGGTCTCGAAAAGTTGTTTTCCAAACGCGAGCTTTTTTGTTCAAGCTGGCCAACGCGCTGTGCGTGGAACATTGCAAAAGGTTTGCACAAGTAACCCAACGGTCAAACAGCAGTTGTCTGAGCCAGAAAAAGTTGTTCACTGAAAGAATCCCTTTCCTTGTTGCTCGAAAGAACCCATTCCAGCAATCTGATCCCATTTTCACGCCTAAAAGCATTACGCGGACCAAAAGCAACTTCTACCAAACAGTCTGAACGAAAAACGGATCTGACAAACAGAGCTTACGCAAAGCTTACGACGAGTGACTCATGCATGCAGCTTACGCAGGACCTTCCGATCGCTTACGAATCACGCAAAAACGCTTACGACTGCAAGAGTAATTTCCAGTTTCATCTAAATTGATCTACGGAGGTTTTTTTCGCCGCTCATGTGAGCAACTGGATGTAGGAAACATGGACATAGTCACTCCGCATGAGCTTGCCTCGAAAGGGAACCCCACAATGGCCAGTCCCAAAAAGAGGTACCAACTCCAAAACCTAAAAAACAACAAAAAAAACACCGGAGACGGCCCGCGCCCCGCGCCGGGGCCGGCGCCACCGTCTCCGGCCGGGGGCGGTGCAGCGCCGCCGCTGCTGCGTTGGCAGCCTGGTGGCCCCCGCTCCCCGTGAGTGAACATCCCAATCCCATAGACAAAAAAGGGTGGTGCACCACCAATCTAGGGAACAACCACCATTTTGGGGGTCCCTCCAAAGGACACATCCATATGGCCATGGGTCAAAATCCCGTACCCCCAGTGAACATCCCAATCCAACCACTAAAATAGGTTCTACAAGGGGCGGTGAATTCCCCTACCCCAAAATGGGAGCCCATTGGTGTTGACCACAGCCACATCCAAAAACCACCCAGAGGCTCCGGAAAAAAAAAAGAGGAAAACGTGGCCATCCGCTTCTTCACCCAACTGTTGGACACCAGAGCATGGAACCCAAAAAAGCGCCCAGGGTCCCAACTCAGTCCAACTCAGCCCCGCATGGATTGAAGCTCCCCGGCCCCAGTTCCCTGAGATCGACATCCTGAGACCAGGACACTGGCGTTGTTCTCCACCTCAGCCGAATCACGTCCAGACATCAAAACACCGACATTCCTGGCTCCATGTGATCTTTACCACTGGGAGAATGCTGATAGCTGTGGACTGTGGGCAAACATATATATTTATGTATATATATATATATATATTTAAAACTATATATATATATATCCCACACGGAGCCTTTGGGAAGAAGCCCTGAGAATCCTCAAGCAAAAAAAGGCAAGGGCCCATCGCATCAAAGCTCCTCTTTTCTCTCAGGCAGGAATCAGTCTTGCTAGCTACTGGCTCAGGCTCATCGTGCGGCACAAAGGATCGCAACCGATCCGCCGCCTCATCTGGCCCTTCAAACCAAACCTCCGGCTCCAATCCGCAAAACTTCTCACACAAAGTGCGTCTTGCTGCCAGCGCCGGGCAGCAGGAAGGGCTGGTTCGAGACCTGGCCCTGCCAGTCTATGGGAGTGTCAGAAAAGGGAGCCTCCGAATCTCACATCCAACCCATCACAATCCGCTGAAGCGACACAATCTCGAAACGGCCCTCTTGAGTTCGAGCTCTTTCAAAACGCACCCTTCGGATCCGCTACAATCCAACTTGCTTTTTCTGGCTCACCGCGGCAACTTTGTTTTTTGCTTCTGCACAAGGTAAATGGCCCTGGCCCTGCTGCCCATGGCCCGCAATAAGTGCCCAAATCCATGCGGCCTTCTCACAGGTCAGGTCTTTCAAATATGACCAGTTCCCGCAGTGGGCCGTGATTCCAATGTTTGGGGCCAACCAGGCCCTTCCCCCTTAGGCCCATGCAAGATCAGCACACTTCAGCTTCTTCGATCTTTGTTCGTCACCACAAACTCCCACCACCGGCAACCCCATCCCCAGAAAGAAGCAAGAATCAAATCTGCAAAAAAATGCAAAAACCAAAAAAAACAAAAACATGCAACGAACCGAGGAAAAAACGCAGGAGAAACCCATCCCCGCGCCGCGCACGCCGCGCTCCCCACAATCGCCTTGCGGTTGAAGCTGATGCCCCCGATGAGCACCGCCACGGCGAAGCACCCGAAGCCCAGCACCTGGCTCCGGCGGATCTTTTTGGAGGTGGTCCAGCCCAGCCCCCTACCTCCCCGCGCCCCTTTTTTGCTTTTTGTTTGGGTTTACAAGGAAACCAAGCAGGAAATTCCACGAGTTCCCCCCTTTTTGTTTGGGTGCAAAGGGAAACCAAAGGGAAAAACCACCAGTTTGGAGTTTGGGGGGGGGGGTTGTGGGTTGGTTGGTTTTTGAAGGGAAACCAAATGGGAAAACCACCAGTTTGGAGTTTGGGGGGGGGGTCCGACCTCAACAGGGCCACACCCACCTTGAGAAACTCCAAGGACTTCCCTGCCGTGATGTGGCCCTCGTAGCTCACGATGAGCTCCTGAAGGTCCATTTGGGGTGTGTCGTCTTTTCTCAGGAATCCGGGCCCCCCACAAAACTCGTGTTTTGCTGTTGGATTCTCCTCACAACCAACCAAATGGGGGGACCCACAACAAAAGGCACACGCATGCCAAGGTAGACTGGTAAGCCGGCTTCTCTTTTGGAGAAACCAACGACTAAAATTGGCAGGGGTGTGACAAGTGTTTTTTTGTTTTGAGGAGTCTACATGGGAAGTCGTGTTGTCCTTCTGGGGGTTGTTGTCAAACGAAACCACGGGGAAGCCGCCCATTCCCGTGGGAACGATCAATGACTCAATGGCCACAGGAGTGCTCACAATTACCAAGTGACATGGAACCGGGAAACCGGAAGCCAATCTTCCCCAACAAACTCCTCGTCCCCTTGGCGTGCAATTTCGGTCCTCCTCTTCGCTCCACTGAGACATCCAATGCAGCTCCTTGCGCCGGGATGAGCATGAGTGACCGTGGAATTCTTGAGCAAACCAGCCGCAAACCAGCCGCAAACCGTGGCAATTCACGCGGTTTCCGAGCTCCCTTCTTGCTCGATCTTTCGAGAATTCCTGACCAAACATGTTGGATCCGGGTTTAGGTTTCTCCAAATGGGGTGAGTTCCCCATGGTCCACCTGAAAGAAATACGGGTATGTGCCAAACGGTGATAGCCAAACGTGGATGGTTTTCCATTTCACCCATGGGCCACTCGCCTCACGCTTCATGGTGGCCAAGGGGATCTCTGCCGTGGTGTCCTCCACACAGGAAAGAACGGCGCTTCTGCCACCCAAAGGGGGAATTCCGGATGGGTGTGTTCGTTAGCCCCAAAGTGGTGATTTTTCTTTGGGTTCCCCTTGAGAGCAACCCGAAAGGGGGGGCCCTCAAAGAAGCATGCCCTTTTCAAGTCGCCCCGGAAAAAAGGGCACCCGTGCGGCCCGCAAACAACTCTCTTCGCTTACCTGCTAGTTCCCTCCGCCCCCTCTCCCCACACGCCAGCGTTGTTTGCCCTTGACCCCAGCCTGCCCGTTGCAATGAGGCAAGAAAGCACAACAGGAAAGCAACAGAGCTGGTAACGGTTCCAACCTGCGCTTGACCACCCTGCCAAACCCAGCCATTTTCGCCTTGGCGTGGGTCTCCATCTCATCCTCTGAGGCCAAGTAGCCATTGCCGAACTGGCTGGGGGACAAGGCCTGAGCTCGGGATCGAGCGTTGTCCCCTGGCCATCCTTTGTTAGCAGCCCGCCACTTTTGTGGTGATTCAGGCCCCTCTTTGAATTTGGCCCTTTTTGGGCGTGGCCGCAAAACCATCAAGAGCACCAAGTTTTGAGAGCCATTCCCTCACACCCCTCTCCCGCCTGGGTCTGGCCGCTTTTGTAGGGGAAGGCGCAGTCCCGGGGGAAGACGTAGTGCAGCCACTGGGCGAAGAGACGCCCGTGGATCGGCACCTTCCCCCCGTGTTCCTCGCAGGCGCAAACCCTTCTGCTGGTGGCTCCCTCCTTGCTCCTCTTCCAAATCCACATCTGCATATATATATATATATATGTACACATGTGTGGTCTATATATATATATAGAAATATTATATACGGGTGCCCATGTGAAAGCAATGCAACTGCAAATATGAATGCATTACACATGTGTATACATGTGTTCAACTGATAATTTAATTCTATGTCTATACATATATAATATTTGTCATTTGGCCGTCGGAAATCAACGCTGTGTCAGAGAAAAGGGAACTCCCGAACCAGGGCAGGCCTGGTCCCAGCAGTGCCCTTTTGAAGCCGGAAAACCAATGCAAAACCCGATGGCGAGTTCAATGTATCAAAACAATAGCTGCCGCCGCCAAGCTGTTCCAGCCTACGACTGCAAATGATGTCAACGAATGGTCTGCGGCATTGTCGCCCACAGCACCCTGAAATGGCTCCAGGCCGGTGGAGCGACGGAGTAACTCTGGGCAACAACTCGCTGTGATCATAAGTTGGCCACTCAGCACCATCCGGAGCTCTTCTTCTTCTTGCTCTTCTTCTTGCTGGACAAGGCACTCCCTGCTTTCTTGGTCGCATCAGCCACATCCGATGCCATCCCGGACGCCATGGCGCTCGCACTGGCCATCATGCCCTGGGCCGCCTTCGCCGCTTCGGACATGGCGTGATGGGCCTGGGGCGCGATGTGTCCTTCAGGATGAGGTACTGCCATAAACCCGGGAGGGAGTGCCTCACCCGGTGCAAACCACTTGCCCTGGCTGTGGTTCAGCGAAGGGGCCGCGGCCGGTGCTCCGTACGGAGCGGAGCCAGCCATCTGGTACGGCGAGCTGCTCACCACCATGGAGCTCGCTTGCGGCACCGGCTGTGGCGCGTATTGCGGGGCGTACATGGCTGGAAACACAGGCTGCAACCGGAGCAGTAGCTAAATGGCTGCGCTAAATGACAAAGCCACTTACGTGGGTGGTCGTGCAAAATTGATCGGGGAGAGGCTACCGCGGGATCCGAAGCATGCATCATTCGCACGCCCGTGTGCAATGCTGTTGAAATACGTGCCGCCGCTCTCTGGGAGGTACAGCATGCCTCTCTTGGACTCTTTAAAAGCATGCTAACTCGCCAAAATGACCGGACCATACCTTCCAATCTTGCACCAAGTGCGTGCGGAGAAACACAAAGAAAATTCTCAGAACATCTCGCCCGACTCGACTCCTTGGCGATGGCCTGCAGCTGCGCCACCAGGGACTTGTCCAAATGCACGTCCACCTAACGTGTGGGGGCAAAGATCGAACATCCGGAAACCCGGCAGGGCACTTGTGTGTCATTCGTCAAAACACGTGTTTCCTCGGGGTAGGTCATGATACGGAATCTGAGACAACTGTAAGAAGGGTTGTGGGAGTTGCCATGCCAATGCCGGGCCTGAAGAACTGGTGAGTACTAAAGGTTTCCTGGCATGAAGTGGGAAACCGCTCTCGTTCCCACAAAACCGGGAGATTGGTTTCTTGTTGGTTTCCCTGCAAAAGTAACCAAAAAAAGGTGTTGGATTTGGCAGGCTAACATAGAACCACGACACAACATCCATGTTTAACAGGAAACTCGGAAACCTCTTTTGGGGGTGTCCACGGGTCATTTGCAGGGGAGAAATTAATTGTGACAGGCCATACTTCAATCCGAAGTGACAAGGTTGAGCTTTGCGAGCAGCCACCAGCTCTTTGCAATGCAGTGCGAGAGGGGGGGGGGGCGGGGGTGTTCAACCATTTCCGCTCGCTTGCACCTGGATAAACCCACCCTCTCCAGCATGAACCCAGCGTCATCCCGCCAAACCCACCCCTCATACACAAACCATGTCCCGCATACCAAAAAACCACTTGCGTCTTCGGCTTGCGTCTTCGGCTTGGTGCCTCGTCCTCCAGGGTGGTGAGCGCCGTCATGTTGCCCACCAGCGACATGAGGTGCTCCACCTCCGCAAAGGGGCCCGCCACCTCTGCCTCGATATCCGCCATGATGGGCTCGCATTCGTTGATGCAGCACACCGAGTAGTGATTCGCGGTGACGATGCCTCAATGCGTCCCCTGAAAGATAAAAACGACGAATTGCGGACCCATCTGCTCTGCTCCCCTTTTGTGACACTAGTATGTCCTAAAATATGTTGGAGTCTCAACACCTGTTGTTTTCCTTTGGCTTTCCTCCCAAGCCTGAAAGGGTACCATCAAAAAAGACCCGCATGCCGCGGCGCAGTTGGAAGCACCCTGGATGTAGTTGGGGATGATCACCTGCTTGCCCAGCCAGGAGGTCTCGTCCAGGGCGCCGAGCTCACCTGTGGCTTGACCCATCGCTGGCTCGCGACGTCAGCCTCGTGAACTATTTACAAACCAAACGAGGGGACTACATCAAGAGGAAAGCAGCACAAGTTGTGGCGATTTGGGCCATTTGGGGCTGGAGAAAAACATAAAACGCGGCTTGAGAAATGACTGAGCCGGAAAAACTGATGTTCGCCCCTTCCCCATCTCTGTCCTGAAAAGCCTGAGCCACTCACGTTTAAGGGGGGAAGCTACTTGGCTGCATCTCAAAGGCAGGCCCCCCCCAACCAAAAGAGTGGAGTCCTGGTTTTGCCCTTTCAAAACTCCCTACATGGTCCTTTCTGGCTTTCGCCCTTGTAGGATGAAACTTAAGGCGAGTGCCAAAAAAGAGTGACCCAGGCCACCCCCCCAGCCCCCCATCCCAATCCAGGCGCGCAGATAGGACTCGGACTCCCCGAAGCGCCACTCGTCGTCCTTCAGCGACTTCCCGTAGAACTTGGCCAGCGGCACCCGGCCCGTGCGCTTCCGGTCCAAGGTCACCAGCTTGTGCTTCATGGCCCTGCACCTGCGAGATTATTCGCGACACGGTGAGAAGAAACACGAGCCTTAAATCGGTGGCAGGCAGGCAGGCAGGCAGGCAGGCAGCGCCAAACATTGAAAGAAACGCAAGATTGAGGTTTCGACACATATCTATACCGCAAGGACGGATCAGCAATTCGAACAAGCAGTTGCTAGTGGGCAGGGAGCTCTCTCAAACAGCCGCCATGGTATCAGGGGACAAAGGAGCTCTTGCAGGCAAAGAGATCCAAAGATCCCTCGCCTTCACATGAGGGTTTCGCCAAACAGGAGCATGCCATGTTGAGAAACCTCCAGATTGGCTGGCTCCAAAAGCAGAGCAACTTGAGATGCCAAGCTGCTCAGACTCCCAGAAAGAGGCGAAGGACTTGGTGATTCCACCTGACGCCCGACTTCACCCTGAAATCATGATAGCTCGAACGATGGCCATGCGAAGAGGAATCCTCATGCGTTTGAACTCCTAGGGATCTGCGACCATCCCTACTGAGCAACTATGGCACGTCCCCTTTGAGGCACTCAAAACAGAAGCCATGCACACGAATCCCACATCCGCCATCCGTCTCGCGGCCATTCGGAGGGGGTCGAGTCCCGGTTTTAACCACCCGCGCCTACCACTGTGTGGGCATCCTCGAAGGAAAAGCCTCGGGAAAGGAGACAAGCCCAAACCTCGCGCAAAAAGCTGTTTCTCCGTGCCAAAAGTAAAACACCTGCCAGGAATCTGCAACTTTTGCCACAGTGATTCTCGTTTTTTCCGCCATGGCCAACTGCAGCTTGCTGCTTTGTCCCTCAAGCCGTACTTTAAAGGATCCATATAACCAACTCGCATCTGTCAGTTGCCAAACCCAACGTTTTTGGGCTTGGAGAAACGGGGCCTTTTCACCTCTCTCCGGCCAGACTCCGGGGGCCCAGCGCTTGAGCAGCGCGTTGCCGCCCTTCCGCGCTGAAGATACCGGCGTCTGACGCTGGTGCTGGAGAGCCTGCCGAGTGGCGGCCGAAGCCAAAGCGTGGTTGGGGCTTGGTGGGCTTCGGGGTTAAAATTGAGGTTGGGCGTGCGGTGTGCGGCAACTACCCTCCCACAAACAAACCTGGCTCTCCAACAGTAACAAAGCCAGAAAGGCAGGGTGAACAAGCAGACCCCGGATCCCTTTCCTGCTCCAAAGGGCTCATGTGGCCAGGGGGGATATACTCGCTTTCGAGAGTCCCGGGAACAGCACTGGGCCCCTACAGGAATCGTACACCGGATATTCAGGCCATGGGCTCACTTCAGGGAAAGACACAATATCAAACTGGCGGACAATGCAGGCTCATGTGAAAGTTCATTTCAGGAAGAGCTTCATTGCGCGGTATTGGACGATGGGCGATCCAGGCGGGCAGGCGCTGCGCCAGCGTTGCCTGGATCTGGCCGCGCACAAACTTCAGGATGAAGTCCCAGTGAGGGAAGATCTGGCGAAAGCGACTGGAGTCGGAACCCGCCCCCTTTCAGATGGTTAACGGCACCCAGAGAAATCCAAAGCGAGAAACTCTTTGGGGTTACGCCCTCTTTGGGGTTCCTCGCTTTAAGACACACCGCAAACTTCCCGAACCCCCGTTTTGCCGGACAACAGTCGAACTCTGCCCAACCTCTTGGCGTCTCCTGAGTTCACTAGCATGCTCCCGGGCTGCTTCCTCCGTCTTTGTTTTGCTCTTCAATTTTGGCGAACATCACTTCCACTATCTCCCGGGGGTGTACCCCCATTAAACTTTATGGCTCGTCTATGAAATATCAACACTTTGTGAATCAGGTGTAAAATACGGAGATGTAATAGAGCTATCTTCGTTGTGGTTCATGTTAACTAACAAAAGTCAAAAATAAGGTTTTAGCCACATGAACTTCATGTGTGTTCCCCTTGATTCCTCCCCAGCCATCAAACAAAAAGAAGAGGAGGCAAAACTTCCGAAGAGGTTGGCCTACATGCCTCCCAGCCCCCGGAAGCTCCCACCTCCGCCAGCTCCCGGTTGTTTCCCAGCCTCAGGCGCCGGAGTGCGTCTTCTTTTTGGGCAACCTCTTTGGCGGCGGCCGAAACGCCAAACAGAAACCCCACAGGGAAACCCCTTTTTTTGGGGCTTGAAGGGAAACCAAAGAGGAACCAAGGCATCCACCATTTTGGAGGTTCCTCTTTGTTTTCCCCCAATTTTTGGAGGCTCCAAGGAGCCATTTTGGAGGTTCGCACGCGCCTGGCACTGGCCCCCGAGGTTCGGGCACGGAAATGACGTCGTCGCCAGCCATCCAAATGGCGATGTAGGCCTTGAGGCCGGTCCCTGAGGCCTTTGTACCACGTCTTTATGGTTTCCTTTGGCTATCTGTCGCGCTAGGAAACTAAATGGCTTTCACTGGTCTCTAAATGATTCCTGGTTGCCTGGGTTTTGCAGAAAGTTGGGTTGTCCCGTCCCTTCTCCTCCCCCCAAACAATAAGCAACGCTCCCGCAAATCAACATGGACCCCAGAGCAAGATTCCTTTCGAGAGGGTTCTGGGGTTCCGCGTTGATCTGCGGGTATCTCTGGCAATTGTGAACTGCTACGAGCTTCTCTCGCATGGATCGACGCCTCCAAAAGCTGCTGAAGGCCCTGGTCGGACAGGGCCCGCGTCATCGGCTTGTGCTGCAAGTTGTAGACCTGCGCCGCACCCTCGAACCCACCCACTAGCTGGGTAGCATTGCTTCAAAAGTATCACTGGCCTAAAGGGCAAAAAACAACTTTGGAACCCTTGAAACCTTGACTAGATAAGGGTAAACCAACAGCACAAAAACAAAGGTTGATTGGCTTTGCGCGATTGAGAAGTAGACAGGTAAGTTGGGGTCATTCTTTTGTTCTTCCTTTGGCAAGCGAATCTATTGGTTCATCCGATGGCAAAAGTACACCACTTTGCCTCAGAATCCACAGGTGCCAAGCTAAAGCAAGCACGTGTCATCCGTTGCCGTGCCCACCGCGTCACGGCAATCAGGGCAAGTGGAGCCCTTGAGATGTGAACACGCAACGCCATCCTCCAGTCAACAAGGTGGGTGGGGTTGGGAGGGTACCCTCTTCACCTTGCTTTCAAAGGGAACCAAAAGGACAACCACCATGGTCCCCTAGTCTGACACGCCCAGTGACTTTGAAGAGAAGGGTGGATGCCTCGACTAAAACTTCCCAAGAAAGTCCAAACCCACCGAGCGTTCCCTTTTTCCGCGCGCCAGACGCGGCCCCGGTCAAGGACGGCTGTCCCACCGACGGATCCAGATCTCACCTCGCCGGGTTTCGGCCGACGCGCTTCGGCAGGCAAGCCGGTCACTGCACGGGCGAGCGCCGGACCGCGCGACGAGGAAAGGATTCTGCGAATCGACGTGTCAAACGAGGGCCGCCAAATGCAAGTCGTTGAAACCACTCCAAAGAGAAACCATTTAAGGAGAGCGGCCCCGAAGTTTGACACCGCGAGCGGCTTTGAGATGGCTTGGATCCATTGGGCGATTTCCTCTGTCGCTAGCATGGTAAATCCCATGCGACGGACTCCCCGAACTACACAGAGCTCTCTATACCGCTCTGTCCCACCCTCCAGTGCATGCAGTTTTCCCACTCTGCGGGAGGGCCTGTAATCGAACATGCCTACGCCAATGACAAGGCCAATGGTCAAAGTTTGAGGGTGCAATAATTCTCGTAACACCGAACGACTCTTTCGCGGCCCTACATCGCCGGGCCAGAAACATCAACACCAGAAACTGGAAGCAGTCGTTTTCAGTCAAGCAATTGGCGGCCGGTGTTGCTTCCGCTGTACCCCGTAAAAACACACGACCTTTGGCCAATTCGCGTGTGCGGAAGAGATTTCAAGCGCGACCCCGCGACTTGATTCACAAGTCTGGCGGCTCCGCTTTGATGCCTGGCCAGCGCTGGCAAAAGGAGACCTGCCCACATTTAGAACCTGGACATGGCTTTGCCTTGCTTACTCTGTTTTCTCTGCCTTGTTTGCTTCAGACCCTCAGATTAGTGAATGAAGCTGGCGCTAGGTCGGGATTCCAACGTGCCTTCTGCGCCAAAAAAGCCGTTTCCTTCTGTTTGTGGTTGGGAAGCAGGTCGCCCTCCAATGATTGGTGTCCTTTCAAGGAATCATCCCAAAAGGGGGGCACAGCTTCGGCCAGGAAAACAACTGTCGGCCCCTCTCCCCCAATCATCAGTGGTATGTCTGGGGTTTGGACACGTTTACATCCACCGAGAAAATGTGTCCAACTGCAGTCGCGCGAGTGTGTCTCAACCCCAAATAGCTGGTTTCCTGTCGGTTTCCCTTTTGGCTTCACCCAAAGAAGCTCTGCACTGGAAAGTCCTGATGAAAGAACCTGGGTTTGGTTTCCCACTTGACCACAAGAGCCCCGTTTACAGTTTTAGGTGGAAACCAACCCAACCGGAAACCAGCAAGGAGACCAAAAGCGCCTTGGGGATCGGAGACATTCGAAGAGACAGCGAAAAACCATCCCCGGCAACACCTCCATCCAAATCTGCCGGAGGCGCTCACAAACTGCGGCCAGGTGCTCAGCTCCCCGAGCTTCGCCTCCGAAAAATGCGCGTAGCTGGTCCGTGGGAAAGCACCCCCCTTGGTCTCCAAGAGCTCTACACGCCATGAAGATGCGGAAGAAGCCTTATGAAGATTCCGGTCTGCGAGGAACAGGGGCCCTCAAGTGGAATCTAAACGTCGTTGGGAGAGTCTTGCGGGGAGAGGGGGGGGCAGGGTGAGGTCCCCACCCGATCTTCAGCATGCTTCAACCGCCATCTTCCAAACACGTTGAAACACCTGGGCGGTTGCTTCTTGAGTGTACCCTTTTTAGGTTGGTTTCACAAGCCAAAAGGAAACCCACCAACAAAAAATGGGGGGAGGGGGTGCTTCTCGTTTGTTCTGTGCTTGCTCCACAGTATTCCACTCATGATGCAATCCACCTGCCATTTATTTGGCTCAAGGCCTGGTAGCTCACATTCTCTTGAATAGAGGATAAAAGCCCGACTTGCTGATTGCGGTACAGTAATAACTTGTTCCTATGGGAACCAAGCACTGCTTACATACATATTGGTCATTTACCTCCTACATACTTCACCGGAGTAGATCCACCAAGGACCTACGAATTGTTCATTCCGGGCCACTTGGTTCCCCCTATTTCAACCTCAGGCCTCAGGCAAACAAAATGATTGTCCCGTCGATTTGTCCTTTTTGACCCATGCCCACTTTTGGCCTTTTGGCCCATCCCTCACCTCCTTCTCCTCCGGCTCTCCCTCCGCAACCTCCGCCACCTCAAGAGGCGCAGGGTCCGGCGCCGCAGCCTCTCCCCGCTCCTTGGGCCACAAAAATCGGACGTGAGCCTTTGGAACGAAAGTTTTGGGGTCACGTTCTTTGGGGTCACGTTCTGGGATTGTCTCTAACTGGGGGCTGAGCTTTTCTTTTGGAGTCCCATCGGTTTGCCTGTAAAAGCGCCCCCAAAAGGCATCACCCCAAAGGGGAACTCACTTTGCTCCAGACCAAAAGCCGATGTTTTGCACCCAGAAATCGGAGCAATGCCTCCGGTCCTCTTCCAGGGGCTTCTTTACGCGGAACCGCTTCTTCGGCCTGCAGCCGGTTGACTGGGCCACTTTGCTGCGCGCCCGACCCCCCATGGATTTTTTGAACTCAGTAAGTCGACCCCAAACTGTCAGACCCTCTTTGGCTTCCCAAGATGCCCTTTTAACAAACCTCCCCAATGGCTCGTGTCACTTTGAATGGGAATCAAAATCAAGCCGTTGGCATGTGAAGGCGCCCCTTGGCCTGGCCGGTATAGATGTCGTGGCGGGCACTTGCAAAAACGAGGGCCATCCGCTTCTGGTTTTGTCTAATTTGCGAGCAAGAGCTGACTCAGTTCTGCACTAGCAGCACACCACTGAGATGTTGAAACGTCAGTCTTAGAGGGCATTGTGGAAAAAACAAGAGCTGAGCTGGACAAAATGATCCCGAAGAAGGCGTAGAAAATTGGGTGGGTTCCCCGCATCACTTTGGGGCAGGGTGACTAATTCGGTTGGTCAAAATTGGGGGGAGATTTGGGTGGGCCCCGTTCTCGTCCTCCCAAACGAGCGAGAGAAAACTGTATGGTTGTCAGTTCGGTGTGAAGTTTGTTGACCCTGGACATGGTGGACATCAGACTTCGGTGGGGACACTTTTGAGGTGGTTCCCTATCCAAACTACTCAGCTGGCCTGAGAGTCGGAGTGCTCGGCTCCGTCTTCAGTTCCTTCTTCTTCTGGCACGGAGGTGCTTTGCACATGGGGCTGTCCCCGTTGTTGTTGGGTTTTTTCTGTGGGGGGGGGGGGGAGACTGCCGTTGCTTGGTTCTAGAGGGAACTCACAAGGAAAGCACCGATGTTTTGGGGGGTCCGCGAATCTTTCGACAATCCAAGAACGGGCCTGCGGGAGCCCGAGACCATCTGATCACGAACTTAACCTGGAGAGGCAACCTCCGGTATCATCTATAGCCGGGAGTGTATGTCCACCAAGTATTCAGGGATTTCCCCATGTGCATAGCCATCTGAAGCCGCAAGCGGCAAAGGCCTTGCCCTTGGCGGAGCAAATGTAGGCCTCGACCTGCCGCCGAGATTCGAAATGTGTCGCAAGAGTGGGGACCTCAAAAGGATTGCTTCCTTGAAAACACAAGACAAAAGAAGAAGAAGAAGAAGCAAGACATGTAGCCCGGGACAGTCGAATCTATGTCCCGAAAAAGGGGTCCCGATAGCAAGACGCGCCCCAAAAAGGCGGGCAGTGTCTGAGGCCAATGGCCCCAGCTGGCTCGAGGTAGTCGAAGTGCAGCACCAGGCTTGGAGTCCTGCGCGTCTCTGAAGCAAGAGGGCAGAGGCTTGACAGCTTGGGATTGTGCAGAGCCCAAATCAAGAGTGCTCAACATCCCTCCTTGGAAGGAAAGCCGCAGTCTTGAAGACGACTCCCCCCCCAAAAAAAATATGAGGCCTTCCTTTTGGGGTTCGTTCTGGTTTCCCTTCAAAAAGGGCTCTCTCAAACAAGGATCCTGAAGGGTGGGCAATCTTCAGTTGTCTCTTGACCAATCACATCCAGCTCCCAACACTCTGCACAAAGCATAACGCGCTCACCTGCGGGTGAACTGACCGGTCCAAACCAGGACATACGCAATTGCACCTTCGGCGCTGTCAAACGCTCCATCGCCAAAACCCATCGGTCCTGTAGCAGCAGCACTTGCACAAGGGCTGGTCATCGTTCCATCGCCTCACCCCCAAGTGGCCTGACAGCTCCACACATCTGAGTGCTTTGGCGTGTTCTTGCTGTCACATGTCAGAGGCAATGACCCCAACCTTGTTTGCAATATTTAAACGGGGTACTGTACCTTCAACGGCCGTTGATCGACGTTTTGCAAGTTGGAGCTAGATTGGTGTAGGTACCTTGCCGCATACTCCAAATAACAGCGTTTTTTTGTTTTTAGGGGGGGATATAGCATTGAATACTCTGCCTTTGGCAACTACCTCCTTTCGTGGGCAGTGCCCTAGGGTTCAAACCCCATGAAAAGAATATGACAATTAATTCTATCATGGTAATATGAACCCAACCATTGCTTTAGGGCAACTGAACCCTAGGGAGTGGTTAGCATCGTCCTTGCCATTGGGGGTTG